GAGAAGTACTGGATTTTGAGCGTCGCATTGATTATTGTCACCAAGTATGTCAGGGCTTTCGGCGAGAGCAGCTTCAACGCCTTGTTGGTGATTTGATCCTCCCCAGGTGCTTTACGCACCTTGAGGTCTTTAATATGACTTAGTAACTCCGCTGGTGTGCAATGTGGAAACTCGGAGGGTTCCACTAATGTGCTATGTGGAGCCTCAGACGAATCTTCTGAAGAAGAGCCATCTGAAGAGGATTCAGTGCCTCCGCTGACGCCGTTGGCCCTAAAATATCTCCTGACGGATCGTATGATGTGCTGTTCCTCGTCGAGGTCATTATCGAGATCATAGTTGGGAGATAACTGTTTTTCCATGGCATCAGCGAAAACCTCGACCTTATCCTCCGTTCTGAAGACTATGCCTTCAGGACCGTGGATGTGTGGGAGTTGTTCTCGTTTTCCATTTCTGAGTGACTTTGCGACCCTCCAGAGAGGAATACTTGAATCAAGCATTCCCGCCAGAAAGTCGCTCCATTGCTCGTTGCGGAGTTCGTGCAGTGCGTTTCTCACTTCATGGACAAGATTTGTAGCCCTACAAATGTCATCAGGATGACAAGACCTTTTTTGCCTGCTGAATAGCGGCTCTTTTGTCAGAGATTTTCTGACGAATGTCCACAGGCAAAAAAGGTCTGCCGTGTCGTTGTACAGGAAATAAAGCTGCACGCTGTAGAGCTGCTTGAATGAAACTTGTCCACTCCGCTTGAGCGGCATCTATTCCAGACTCATCATCTATAATCGGGATATCGGGAAACTCTCTAAGGAGCAACTTGTATAGGTCCCAATCAATGCGTTTCCTTGGAGGAGTTGCCTCCTCAGAAGTTTGCTCATTGCCCACATCCATGACAACAGGTGGTCACTAGAGATATCATACAAGATTAGAGAAGAGATACTGTATCTACAGTTTTTAGATATCGCGAAATCGATGACATCTGGTGCCTGAAGATGGTTGAATGGATGATGTGTCGACTCTTCAGTGCTATGTATAAGGTACCCATTTCGCATCACATGGTTGTGCAATCGAACCCCACTAGTGGAATTCAACCTAGAATTCCATGCTCGATGTTTGCAGTTGGAGTCCCCTGCCACAATAAGCGGACCCGAGTAGTCCAAAAGGACCTCCAGATCCGCCTCTTGTAGCCTGGCACCACACCTGACATACACCGATGTGATCTTCAACGAGACACCTCCCGCCATATTGACCACCACAGAAGCTGCTTCGATTGCTATGCATCTCGGCATTAGTGCTTCTATAATAGTCTATACCGCGTTTAATCAACACTGCTAAACCGCCGCCTCGACCATTCAATCTGTCACCTCGGATAACATCATAATTCGGGAGAGCTAAACGATCTCCCGGATTAAGCAACGTTTCCTGCAGCAAGGCCACATCTATACCTTCAACCAAAAGAGCTTGATGAAATTCCCGTTTTTTGGGAATATCCCTCATGCCCAAACAATTCCAAAAAAGAATTTTGATGAATGCAGGCTATCTACTATTGTACCTAGACATTTTCAGGAAATATCGCCTGCAACGCTTGGGTAGCGCTAATCAGTGGGCTTAGTATTTGTTGTAAGGACCTTAGCGCGGTTGCCAGGTCCACATTTTGCGTGCTCAAGGGAGGTTGGGCAGAGGGGGCAGGCAAGGTTGCCTCCCAAGCTGCGTCCGCGTATGATACGAGTATATTGCGCCTTTGCGCTATAAATTGCAAGTTCCTCCTTGGAGTGAACTTGCAAGTCCGGCTATTTGCGGGATGTCCCTCTCCACAGTTCGCGCACTTGCGTTCTTCCTCTTCTGTGAGGGGGCACAAATGCGTCATGTGGTCCTTTGCACATTTTAAGCATTTGGGCGGTGCAGTGCAATATGACTGCGCATGCCCATACTTTTGGCAGCGGTGACACTGCCCAATGAGTCTGGAGTTCTTCTGAACCTCAACTCGAATGGCCAGTCCCAGCAGTTCGTGTTCGTTGAACACTTGCTGAGACTTTTCAGTCTTGGGCAGTATCACGACCACCAAAGGCATGGGCGCGCCGCCGCTGCGCTTCAATCGAATGATGTGAATAGGGCTATATCCCCTCTGCTCCAGTTCTCCCTTAATCTCAGTATCCGAAAAGTTGACGGGAACTCCTCGAACCACCGCATGGATGTTCCGTTCCGGAGGGAGAGGAAAAGTGTGATGGGGCACTTCTTCCTCTCGGAATAGGCGAACGATCTTACGGTAGTCGTCCTCGGATTTAGGAATAATCCTTATTCCCGCATCGACGGCAACCGCGCGATCTATTTTAATACCTAGGGAAATAAACTTGAAATTTAAAGTACGCCATCTCGTCCCGTCGCGTAAGACGATCGGGGTTATGCGCCATTGTCGTGAGGGTTGTGTTGATGCCACGACGGTTGGACGAGATGACGGAGGAGAAGTAACATCGGCTGACGGAGTCACCTGACAGGTAGGTAACGCGGTCCCTGGCTTGGTAATAGAAGCATTAATAGTGTTTCGATTTGATGAATTGGGGGAGGTGTGAAATGGAATTGATCCTGTATTCGGAAGAGGAGGAAAGTCTTGGGTTGATCGATCAGCCTTGTCGCCTTTCCTCCTTCTTGATTTTGCTTTTACAAATCCTTCAGTCTGTACGTCTTCGTCTGTGGTTTCCGCCACCGCTCAGCTCTTTCCTCATAGTATGTGGAACTAAGTCGTCTGTTGATCCTCCTGGGTCAACTTCCATCTTTCGGATTCGGACTTTTTGCATGTTATTCGAAAAAGCCTCCTAGTAACAAATGTACATGTTGTCAGGCTCCAAATTGCGTCTCTAATTGTTTGTACAACTTTTTCAAATAAATTCCAAAAATTAATGTTTTCGCTTCATCAAAGGTAGTATTCGTTTTTTTTTGATACTCCGAAACAAAACGATGTTTGACAATGTTTGTTAAAAGCTGATTTTGTACGAGATGGGAAAGTACAAAAAATTGATTTTGCGATACTGAAAAACGATCTGAAAAAACGAAAATGTTAATGTCGCCATGCTTCATAAATAACCATTAACACAATTGCGATACCTTTTAGGAGATACTGTTATTAAAAATCTTTGTATTTAATTGATATGCAAGCGGACGCTCAATGCATATTCAGCGTGCACGAGAGATATTTCATCTCTCTCTGGCGTTCACATAGACATAAGGCGGCTACAGACACACGCTTATGACTTAATACTTAAACGCGCGTTCGTAAACGCGCACTCAATAACGTCAATGTGTATGCAGATATCGGCAGCGTTCATGAACGTGCGTTCACGATTGGCGTGGCGTGCAAATTTCAGTTCTCGACAGAAATTTTGAACGCGCGTGCAGAGACGCGCATGCAAGTCTCAACGTGTAGAGGCAAAAGAACGTGCGAATTCCGCAGACAATCAGAGGTCAGTGCCGTTGATCAACGAAGTACGAATTATCTTCGAGTAAGTAATTTTTATTGATTGTAGAGATGTCTGACGTCAGAAAAGTGACTCGAGACTTCACCAGAGAATTCATTGAATTGTACAGGGTACATCATTGTCTCTGAGAAACGAAAGCAAAAGAATATCTAGATAAAAATAAAAAAAATGCAGCATATACATTGTTACAGGAAAAGTTACAAAGTATTCAACCTAATGCTACAAAACAATCAGTCATAACAAAAATTAATACTCTACGTGGTGGTTTCCGAAGAGAACATAAAAAAGTACAAAATTCGAAAAGAAGTGGATCTGCGTTGGAAGATGTGTATGTGCCATCCCTGTGCTATTACGAATTACTGTTATTTCTTAAAGATCAAGAGATACCAAGATAGTCTGTTTCAAATATTGAAAGTGAAGAAGAAGTGCATGACGACGTGTTAGAGACGCAAATAGATGAAGAGGAGAATGGAAGAGAGGTAGGTCAATAACTAAATAAAGTATATGTTTAATATTTATTTTACTGATATGTAGAAAGTAGGTGGTGTACAATCTTCTAAATTGTAGCAGCCAGCTTTAATTTTTAAGTGATAATAATTCAGAAAACTACTTCTTAAACTGACGAAAAAAGCAAAAATTTTGATTGTTATGACTGCACCATTAATTATTATTGTATCATTCGTTCTTGCCAACTCAGAGCCCCTTCTTCGTTAAAAAATTGAGTAAGCTCTCGACGCACATGACTTGCTTCGCTACTGAAGTTTCTGCTATGGCTACGTTGCAGGTTTGCTAGTTGCGAAGGATTTGCTCTAAGCCCCATTTGCACCGTTCCGTCTGTACGATTTTCTTGATCTAAAGAATCCATTGGTATGTAAAACTGACTGCATTTGCGTCTTAAGAAATTATGCAGGACGCAGCAAGCCATTACGACCTTGTCTATCGATTCTATCTGTAGACTGATAGCTGACTGAAGTACCTGAAATCTTGCTGATAGTATCCCAAATGAATTTTCAATTTTGCATCGTGCCCTTGATAAGCGGTAATCATAAATTTTTCATGATTCAGGTCGTTTTGACTGTAAGGTTTTAAGAAATCACTATGTAATGCAAAAGCTTCATCTCCAACGAATACAAATGGTAGCTCTCTGCCACTGTTTCGTGTGCATGTTGCAGGTGGCAGCTTTAAAGTTTTATTTTTTAATTTTGTGTAGAAATGCATGCTATGACTCCTCCATCCGATATTCGACCGTTGGTACCAAAATCACACATTATAAATTCATAATTTGCATTACATATAGCCATGAGAAGTAAACTGTTATAACCCTTGTAATTATAATAAAATGCTCCGCTGCCCGGTGGTGGTTTGATTTGAACATGCTTGCCATCTACGGCTCCTACACAATTAGGAAAGTTGCATACTTCTTCAAAGCCTTCAGAGATACTTTTCCATTCTGTTTCTGTTGTAGGAAACTGTAAAAAATATCAATTATAAAATATATAAATATATAATATAATATGTGTGTATTATTTTCAGGTAGGTGATGCCGTATCTGAACAAACTGAAATGTAGGCACATTCAGAACATAATATGGCGAGCACATCAAGACCTTCATCAGCACTATCCAGTCGATCATCACCACCTTTACCCAAAAGGTCCAAAAAATCCAAAGCACACCACCAAAATATTAATAAAGCAGATCAGATATCAGACATTGTCGGTACAGGACTCAATAAACCGACAGACGAGTTCGACCTTATGGGAAAATCGATAGCAATCAAATTACGGCGATTGCCAAGAGAAATACGACTATATTCAGAAAAATTAATAAACGATTGAAATAGGATTCAAGCGGAGTTAGGAAAAGTTAACGAACATACAAGAATAACGTCCGAACCAACACCAATTAATAATAGTAATACATTATTCCCTCCGCTACCAAACTGTGATTCCATCTAGACTCAGTCTACACCAACCAACCAACCAACAACAATTGTAGTAGTAATACAGCTGCTGTGTATTAGGGCTCTTATAATCCTTTACAATAATTAATATTATACTGTTATGGATATGCTGTTATGCTTTTCCTTATTTAATGAAAATATATTTCATGTTTTTCTTACCTTCATGTATTTTTGCTGTAGTACTTGGTATATAGATGAGCATGTTTCAGGAATTATTTCGCTCAACGCTTGCGGAGGTATTATCGTAGAAAATCTTAAATCGTGATAATTTCGTCCAGTCGCCAAATATCGAAGGGTTGCGGTTAACCGTTCGTGTGCACTTATTGCAGATCTCATAACTGTGTCCTGACGTTTTATTAGTGGAGTAACCATTTCTAACAATTCTACATAGGTATCCTCATCCATTCGTAGATAATTACGCCAATCATCGGGTTCTCCTTTCAATTCTTCCAATAAGTTAATATGTGAAAATGACTGCCTTTTCAAAAGCCATTCCTTAGACCACAGCCGACGCCGCTTTTTCGACTTTTTAAAACGTAATTGCCCGCCACTGCCATAACAGCAAGCTCTTCATCGGACATCACAACTTCTTCCGTCGCGCACACCCATTAAAAGTCGGTAGAAAAGTTTGAGCGTCTGTACATAAAGCAAATTCGTGTCTATGCATGCACGTTAACGCACGCGCGTTCATGAATTCAGTCATCAGCGTGCGTCTGTAGCCGCCTATAGACTATACATTGAGCGCGCATTCAATTCATAATTACTATGCAAATATTTGCAATAACTGTGCTCTGGGGGTTCTGTTATTGGTTGGTTGAAGCATGTGTGAGATTTGGCAACATCAAAATATTCATTTTTCATATTGTTTTTAGGGTAGCAAATGACATATTTTGAGTTTTTACCTTGCTTATACCTGTATATATCAAGTCTAGAGAAAAGTTCTAAAGCTCATTTTTTATTCAGAATGTCCTAAAAACCGCAAAATACTATAAACAAAGAGAACAAATCAATTTTTGGAATCGCTTTAATAACAATTTTTGGAGCAATTTTGGGCCTAGTCACATGCAGATTCTTTAACAGAGGTCCTTGAATCAGATTATGCAAAAATCGGAATCGGAAGATTTTTCCGAGCAGATGTTTCGATATTATCTGGACTATTATCCGAGTTCTGGGACTTGATTACCAGTGCATTGGCGCAAGCGAGTGGGGAGGGGCCACTTGTCAATGTCAAAGCTGGTCCGCCAGTCCAGGCAACACAAAAGCCACAAAACACTCTTTCATCTGCTACCTTGACGTTAAACATATGATTTTGTTAGTCTGTTTAATGTTGATATTGTCGCCATTGCTACATTGGCAATCCTGGCCGCGCATGCGCTTTAAATGCTTATTTTCTTAAGTTAAGTTACGTTAAGTCTTGCATGAACCCACCATGAGATTCGCTAAGTTCGCACATACTATCGCGGTACTGTCGTTGGGTTCCGCAGGGGGTTTCTCTTCCAAACACTTGGTCTGAAATCCTGGAATTGTTGTATGTCAGAATAAGCGTTGTCAGCAAATGTATCGGCGGTTTGATTATATTCGTAACAAAAATCGTTACTGGGTTCTCTAAAATCATGGGGAAGGTGTGTAGGCGGAGTGTTGGGTATCGTCATATTCATTAGCGTAGTCATATTCATTCGCGTAGTCCGTGTTGTATAGGTCTGGTTCACCGTAGTAGGAATAATCGTAAGAATCAGGAGCGACATAATTAATTCGATTGGGAGGATTTTGTCTAAAATTTCTTTGAAAATTAGGGTTTTGGAAATTTGGATTGCTCTGAATTACAGAGGGTCTTGGCGCACTCGCGTTAGGCGCATTTGGTCGTATTACAGATGGTCTGGGAGGATATTGATTAGAATTTTGATGGTAGTTAGATGTAGACGGTCTAACTTGCATAGGTTGATTCGGCCTAGGGTAATTTTGAGGCTGGGGCTGGTTAAACTGTCTCGGGGCAAAACTTGTAGACTGTTGTCTCCGTTGGCATTCATTTGCCAAGTGAACGGGACGATTACAAAAATTACAAATTTTAGGATTTGGTCTTCGATTAACAGAATTTTGATTCGGGTTTGGGGTCCTGGCGAATTTTTGTCGTTCCAAATATGAGAGTTGTAACTCTCGTTTGATATACGAAACTGCGGTCAAGATATCCGTGGGATGTCCTGATCGCACAACAGGTCCTATTTTTGAGTCTAATCCTGTTAATAGACAATTTAAAGTCATCGTTTCGATGAGGGAACTTTGAGCAGATTTTGCTCGCGATTTAGATTTTGCCTATTCACGGCGGAATGCATTTTGGCTGCATGCGTCTGCAGTCTAGATGCAAAGGTTAGGGGTGATACGCTGGGGAGTTCTCGCACGTGTTGAAGATCCGCGATTAAAGAAGTGAGATCTCTAAGATCTCCAAAGTGGGTTTCTAACAGGGACCATATGTCTTCCCACGTGGAAGAGTTTCGGCTGTTCACAAGTTCGGCGCCACGTCCGCGAAGTTTGTTTTTAATATGTAAAACGACGAGAAGCCGCTGCTCCTCGACGGCCATTTGATATGCCGTTCGGCATGCGTTGATGAAGGTCGAAAGTAATATCGGGTTTCCATCGTACTCGGGTACAATTGAAAATATTTCAGATAATCTATAAGGTTCAATGTTCGCATGAACGTTATCATATCTGATAATTTCAAAGCTTACCTAGAAAATTGTGCTTTTTTGAATAACTAAGATTTGGCAATGTCAATGTATGACGTATTATACATTTTTGGAATAATTAAAAACTATTCATCTGTGAAAATATATAATATGGCGTCCTTAAGAAAAAATAAAGTTGATGCAGGAGACAAACAGGCGAAACGTTATATTGAAATTCTAATTATGCCATCTTGTAGAGGAGAAATAGTGACAATGTTAATGTACAAGATATTTTGAAATCCATGTATAAATAAAGTCAGGAAAAACCTAAAGCGATTTTGAGAAAATTCGGTATTTTTCCGCCTCTCTCCGGAAGTACTTCCAATTTCGAAACTTTCTAAGCCACATTTTGTTGATTACCTAAATACGCAACTTTGTCACCATTTGAGCAACTTTGGACCTATTACAGTTTCCGAGATCCCATTAGTGAGGGTCGAATTTGAAACACCCTGTAGTGTAGAACAGCCAATTGGAGTAAATTTTTTGTTTTTATTGGCGAATTCCAAAATCTATGCGCACCCTGGCGGCCACATCCTGAACCTTAGAAAGCGAGTAACGTGAAATCAGCAATTCCGTTTATTCACGTTTGTTGTATCGGAGTGTTTTGAAAGAATTTGTGTTTCGGAGTTGAGCTTGTGCTTTTTTGTGATTTAAACATATTTGTTTGAGAAAAATGGAGCCAATACCCTCTACGTCTAAGGACACAAATTGTTGTGTTTGTGGATGCCATTCCAGGAAAGGGAAGAACAGACACTTGCATTTTCAGAATTTTCCACCGAAAGCGTTAAACGCGTTAAAATAACAAATGTGTTGGGGCAGGAAGAAGAGGTACATAAGAGGACAGCATTGGAGAAAGTTTTGTTGATGGGAAAACCAGTGACAAAGAATATGCGTGTGTGTTCAAAACATTTCAGAGAGAAGGACTATTGTGGTACAGGTACCTGTTATTAATAGTAAATAAAGTAAATTCTTCTTCACAGAATGTAGTAGTTCAATAATAGGTGCTTACTATCTGCACAGTTTCTTAGGTAATCCAACTCATTTTAGTATTTTTGACCTACTACTATTTGGTTAACTATTTTTTTTCACTGTTAAAATCTTCCACAGAAAAGTTTTGATTTTAAGAAATCAGCATCAGGTATTCGCCAGCAACGGTTATGGAAGAGACAAGAAGGAATCAAGGAAAGGCAAACAGATATTCCCCTTAGTGAAACAGCGTCATGTGCAGAACAACAATTAAATACAAACTTAAACAGAGAGGCACCAAAGAGCTACGAAAACTTATCCGAAGAAGAAATAGTAGTTGTTCAAACTCTCTTAGATTTAGGTTCAGATTGTGATAGTACGTTTGTAAATAAAGGTGTGCAGGTTGTAAGTGGGGATATTTTTACCAAATTTACATCATCTATTAAAGAAGATAATCATTTAAACTCCTTAACCGGTATACATAGTTTTGATCCTTTAAATGCAGAATTCTAAATTTCATCAAAATTTAAAGCCACATAAAGTATCTTTAAAGGACAGAATAATCTTAGTTTTTATGAAACTTAAAATGGAGATAAAATTTAACATCCTAGCATTTTATTATTATTTATTCAAAATATATGCTTCAACTTGTAAAAGAACTTTTAGTGAGTATGTTGGCTGTTTATCAAAGGTTCTAAAATCTTGTATCCGTTGGCCATCATCTGAGAAATGTCAACAAAATCTGCATAGTTGCTTTTCAAATTTTAGCAATGTTAGAGTCATATTAGATTGCTTTGAAATTCCAATTGAGAAACGAAAATGTTTATGTTGCAGAATTCGAACTTAGTCCAACAGGACTCATAACATTTGTGTCTCCAGGTTATGGTGGCAGAAGCTCAGACAAAGCAATATTTATTTAAAGCAATTTAATAACCAAACTAGAACCAAGACAAGATCATACACCTATAATGGTTGATAAAGGATTTTTAATAGGTGACATCTGTAGAGACCATTTCGTGAAAATAGTTAGACCCCATTATTTGAAGAATAAAAAACAATTTAGTGAAAGTGAGTCTAAAGAAAATATAAACATTTCAAAGGCAAGAGGACATACAAAGCGGATGAATCAGAGGATTAGAATATTTAGTATCTTGAACACTCCTTTAGGAAACACTCTAATACCACTAATTGATCAAATTATTTTAATTATTTGTGGTATGGTCAATTTGCAAACACCAATTCTTGCTGAACATAGGCATTGTATTCTATAATGAGTGACAAAAGAGGTAAATACCTACGTATGTTTATTGGAATTCAAGAATTTTTTACATACTGATTTACCTTGCCATGAACAACAAGTGATAAAATGGTCAGGTTTTTGTGGTGGCTGCGTGTATTCTTTGGTGATAAAGAAGCATTCAGTTTTCGCACATTTACGGTGTCAGTTAAATGTTAAATATCGTGTAGCTTATTGTGAAGCCTTTTTGTGATTGCTCACAATGCAGCGGTTGGTATGCGTACGGTATATCGCCGAATACGACAGTTTCGCCTTGTTTCTTATCGCCCACATTGGGTGCTACCTCTCACAGCTGAACATTGGCGTAACCGTTTGCTCTGGTGTAGAGAAAGAATTCTATGGGATCAGGAATAGAATCAGGTGGCTTTAGTGACGAATCCCGCTTCTGTATGGATGATGATCGGGCAAGAGTGAGAAGGCCACGTGATGGAAGACGTGATCCACAATTTGACAGAGAGCGTCACGTTCACCACACCATGAGAGTTATGGTATGGGGTGCTATTGCTTATGGTAGCAGATCACCACTAATTTTCATCAGAAGCATATGACAGCCCGAAGCTATATTCAGGAAGCCTCATCTTTTTCTATACCTAAAAACCATCCAAAACCCGATTGTTCAGCAAAACAATGCCAGACCGCATGTTGCCACAACATCGTTAGCCTTCATGGATCAACATCGCATCAACCGTTAACCTTGGCCACCACGATCGCATGACCTAACTCCAACTGAACTTGTCTGGGACATGACAGGTCGCAGGCTGTTGAATTTGCAACACCCTCCACAGGCTTTAGCAGCTCTTACTCACGAATTTGCAGTAGCCTGGAATGAGATACCCCAACAGGATATCGACCACCTTATCAGCACGATGCCCAGGCGTGTCAAGTGTATAAGAAATTGTGGATCCTCATCACATTATTGAACCAGCTTCTGCAGTCAGTTGGCGAATTAAGCTGAAAATTCAATCATTTTGCTAGTAAGGAACACTGAACATATATTCCAAAAATTGTAAAATCGGATAAACATACGTAGGTGTTTACCTTTTTTTATCACTCAGTATATAAAACAGAATTTTTTATTTAGGTATATACATGGTTATTTACCGGCTTATAGCAAAACCTCTCTCAAGATAAAAATTTCATATATGTACAAATATACACATGATTAATTTACAAGACGTTTATAAAATAGGTAGTAAACTGAAATTTTTTCATAATCATAGTTTTAGATTTTGTGCTAAAATCCTTTCTGCTTGTATTGTACTATTGAAAATGTAAATATGATAAATAACTGAAGACCAAAATTGCCATTTCATTTTTGGTAACCATTTCACAAATAGCATGTAACATATTTAAAAAGAATTTGTCACACATTTTTAACTAAATTATATGTATAATGTTCATCAAATGGTACTACTACATTGAGGGATGTTTTTGATTTTGATGAATATGGTGTAAAGTCAAGTATTGCCATTCCTAACTGTACCTGTGTATAATATGAATGGATCTTTGTCAATGTAAGTCCTGACTCTGCATTCACATTCAGAGAGCATGTATGAACGAAATTGATGGCATCAGTTTCAATACCTAAAAAACATAAATGTTACTATAATTAATACTGACAATTTTTATAAATACATCAAAAAAGACCTATTGCTGCAGGGCACCAGTATTGTTGGAAACTGGTTTTGTATAACTATGCCATCAGGTGCATAGGCAAACGATGTAAATTATTCGCATATAACCAAACCTAGCCCACAAACATTATACTCATTGAATTTTTTATATTTTTCCATTGCTTCCCCTTCATATTTTTTTCCATGCTCAGAGTTTTTTATTCTTTTTCAAAAATAAAAAAAAAAATGGATTTTGATATACATGTGAGTGCATAAAATAAACTTACAAATGAAATGATGAACTTGATAATGGACACACTGAAGTGAACAATTTAAAACACTCCTCCTCTTGTTCAGTTGTTTGGTTCGCAACAGTTACAACCTCACCCGAAAAGCAATTAGTGTCTTAGGCCCGTATCGTCAGTCGTCTCTACAATTGTAGGGCGCCTTTATGGCCTCGTTCATTGTCATAGTTTTCTACTTCTCCGTGTCAGCGCTCTATTTAGAGGTTATGTCACAAACATCTATTTGCATCAAACTGTGCTTGCTTTTGAGTTATATCATGTTTTATCAGCCTGAAATTTCTTACAATTTAAAAAGAAAACATATCTTCACAATAGGAGAGCGCTGACGCTGACACGGGACAAGTGTAATCTAGAAATTTTTGAAAGGTTACACTGCAATTTGTTAATTAAAGCCTGGCATAAACCTGTATGATCATAGTCATAATGATAATAATTAACACTTACGAACTTGAAGACAAGCTGTGCTAAGCAAGTATGTATAATGTGTAAAGGTTCTGAATTGAGTTCATGGTAATTCAATTGACAATCATGATTTCAGCATATTAAAAAGAGCATGGGCATGTAGGAGCACCAATTATGAGACATGACAATGTGTAAATGGGAAAATGGAGTTGCAGGATGAAGTTAAATTCTTCATTACCTACTTTGTACCATCATGGCAGAAAATTTCACAACTAATTACAAGAAAACTGTGGGAATCAATTCCCCTTAAGGAATGTCAAACACTGAATAGGACCGATATTTGAGGTGCTCGCCTTGTTTTACAATATTAGCCTTGTGGGCATATATATATATATATATATATATATATATATATATATATATATATACTGATATAAGCAGAAAAGGTTTTTTTTTAAATGGGAAGCTGTAATGAAAATGTATCGTATCAAAACTTCAAGCTGTCAATTTCAATTATTTGAATGTTCTGTGTATATATTATGCGTATAAATTGTGGTTTTTAGTTCCTGTTAACAATGCAGACTACAAAAGAAAAATATTCGTCAAAAACAAAAGCTTCAGCTGCTGACCATGATAAACAATACAGCAATGTGGTTGGAAATAAGAAAAATGATGCAATCAGCCTCAGGGCAAAAACAAAGCCTTGAATCGAATTGCAGAGAACTTCAATTTTCAACGTTTTCTAAAGAACTTTGTATGGCTAATGGAGATAATGAAAAAAGCTTATTTTTTGGAAATAATCTAACCTGTTTACCATCATTCAAAAATATATAATCAAGTTCAAACTGTCACTTTCAAATATTTGAATATTCTGTGTATATGAATTCAGTTTGGTTTGAAGTTCAACCCTGCTATGCATTAATAATAGACAAAAATATAACCATATAGCTAAAAACAATAAAACCAATCTGGTGAGGTATCAATAGAAAAAACTAGGCCTAGCTTTATATTGATAAGAAGTTTAATTTCCACTAGCAGCACTGATGTAAAAAGCAGAATTTGGTATATGTGAAAAAAAAGGAACTGTGATCAAATAATCTGTTGCAATATACATTTTCAGAGGAAAAACAAAACCTTTTCCTGTTTATTTCGGCAAATAAAAGTAAGATAATACTGAGAGACATAGTAGGCTGCTTACAAGCAGAGGATGTCTGATAGATTCCAATAGCATTTTACTTTCTTGACAGTGTTGTACAACATATTAAAGTGGTGCTTGACGATCCCTGTGATAGTACTTTTCTTACTTATAAAGTTTAAATAGTATAGACTGTCAACCTTTGGATAAAGGGGCAGATTCTTTAAAGAGCAAAATCCATTTTCATATGAAGTAAGCTAATGGACAGTCTAGGTAGGTACGTCCAGTTGCATGTTTAACAAAAACTAACTCTTAAAAAATAAACGGACACTATGCACCAAAGTTAGTTAAAACTTATTCAGACATAAATACGTTTTCAGAGGCTGCTGGAACTCGAACAACTCAAAGAACGTTTTTTATTTACAAGGTCGTGTTGTAAACTATATTATACGCCAAAGCTAGTGAGAAAACATAAATAAATTTTTTCCCAATTATTTTCTAATTATAAAAGGGGATAATTCATGTAAACTGTGCCCAGGGAGAATAAAAACATTGTATGAAAAATGAAACACTAAAAAAAGAATAATAACTTTTATTCAAACTGCTTTGCTACATATCAAGGGATATAGTTGTGGAAAGTAATTTGGAATTTT